ATTTTTCCTCCATATCTCTTCAGTGTAGGGTAAAGGGACAACGAAAGCAGGAAACAAACTAATCACCGCACACTGTGACTCTGAACCCAGAGTCAGTGAAAGAAATATATGTTATATTTGAGATCTGGTCCAGGGAAAAAAACATCTTTTTCCCTGAACCCATGACTATAGACATGTGTCCTGGCTCTGAAACTAGTACCAAAGAAACACACTTTGTCTCTAGAATCAGAGCCAGTGAAAGAAATATGCCCTGTTCCTAAGATTAGTATCAAAAGCTAAAAGGACCAGTGAAAGAAACAGTTTGACCACGAAGTCAGAGCAACCTCTGCCCCTGCCAATCCCTTGGCAAGAAACTAGCCAATCACTGAGCACCCTGACTCTGAACTTGGAGTCAGTGAGAGATTCACACCCTGTATTTGAGGCCTGAGCCAGGAAAGAAACATCTTTATCCCTGAACCCAGGACCAAAGAAACATGCCCTAACTCTGAAACTAGTGTCAAAGAAACACACTTTGTCCATAGAATCAGAGACAGTGAAAGAAATATGCCCTGGTCCTAAGATTAGAGTCAAAAAAAAAGAAACACAGTTTGGCAATAAAATCAGAGCCATCTCTGTCCCTGACCAACCAAACCGACCAATGCCTAAGCAGGGAAAAACTAACCAATCCCCCTTCTCCCTGGGAAAACTCCACCCCTAAGAAGTCCTATATAAGCTTCTCCACCGCTTCAGTCAGTTAAAGGCTGCCCTAAAGCTGCCATGAGGCTGCCACTCTCCTGGACTCTTTCCCAAATAAATCTCTTTCTCAAGAGTTTTGGGTGGTGACCTTCATTCACTGGTGCAGACTAGAAGAACCTGGCTGGGACATCCCTTAGGGGACTGAGCTGAAAAACCTGGCTGAGACGCTCCCTAAGGGGCCTCAGCAAAGTGGAGCAGAACAGAAGAACCTTGCTGGAATGCTCCTTAAAGGGGCTGAGCAAGGCAGAGCAGAACAGAAGAACCTTGTTATGATGGTCCTTAAGAGGTGGGGGGAGCAGGGGCTGAGCAAGGCGGAGCAGAAAATAGTAACAACTTTTCTTCACTGGAGAGAGTGCTACATTTCTGCAGTGGAGGCTTCCCTTTAGCAGAATGTTAGCAAAAGAAGAACATCTCAGGCCAAAGAAGAAGCAGATTATCTCTGCTAGGACGTTCCCTTAAGGGAACAGAGCAGAACGCAGCAGTAGCGGCTCTCCAGGAGAAGAGCAGGATCATTATATCCTGCGGGGAGACCATCCCCCACCGCACCCCAGCTTCAGGGAGCCTGGCTTCCCAATAGTCAGGACACCTTTTCTCCAGAGCTGAGCTGTCCTACTGGGGCTCTAATCTCCAAGGCTAAGCTGTCCTATTGCAGCTCCACCCCTCCAGAACTGTCCCATTGCAGTTCTAAGTATATGCTGGCTTCCCGATAAGTCAGGATATCACTGAAACACGACTGTAACACCTTCCCCTACATTCGGGCCATGTATGTGTGTGCACATACATGGATGTGTGCTTCTAGGAACGGAACCCTTTCTTAGAGCATTCCAAGAAGCATTCTTTCATAAAACAATATCACAGCACTAATACTATTTTCGTATTGGTCATACATCCCAATTTTGTAGTTTAGATAAACTTCCTCACCAAGCAGTGGTGTTAAATGCACAACCCCTCTGCTTCTAACCTATTGTCATCTCTTAATTGTCTTACTTTCTGTTCTCACAGGTTCCCCACTGTCCATTTCAGTGAAAACCAAAGGTGCTGCTCACTGTGTCTCTGTCATCGTCACCTTTCTCATTGTACTGGTTTTCAGAGCTTCGGGAATTGGTATCATCCTTTGGTAAACCCAAGGTTGAACTTACACCAATCAGGTGTAACTGTGGTGCTGTTAGACTATTTAGTATAAAATCCAGACTTTTTGTTCAAAACCGTCCAGGAAGGAGAATGAAATAGACATGACTGAAAGGAACAAAAAGACAAGCCCAGAAACCGCTCATTTCAACTCCTTTCTGCACTGGGGGTTTTGTTTTCTCAACCCAGAGGAGGGTCTTCCACACGTGACAGAACCCCTAGCCACTGAAGACCCAGAGCTTCAGAGTTGTTCCCATAGAAAGGTCCAAAGTATCCCAGATCCACTCTGGGACTCCCCTCAGAGAAGACTTAGATCACGTGTCATGCCCTCATGCTGATCTTTAGGTGGTGCCTGTGGTGTGGAAAGGCATGGGAGTAGAAGTGTCACTGGGGAGGAGAGGAAGGATTTTATGAGGCTGACTTCTGGGCATCTTCTAAAATGAACTGAAAGAAGGATTTTAAAGAAACAGCCGCATACCAGTATCTAGAGCATCAATGCTCACCATGATACCCATTGTTCGAAACATGCTGAAGATTCCTTGACTGGTAAATAGAGAACTACCATGTAGCACACATATGCACCACAGGATACTAGTCAGCTCTAAGAGGAGAAGGAAGGGCTAACATTTGCTACTACATGATAAATCTGGAAGATGCTAGGTTCAATGAAACAAGCCAGAGACAAAAAAAAAGCCTTTAAAATGGCTAGGATGGCACATGGTATAATAGGTATATATATAATTTTATTTTATTTATCTATTATGTATACAACATTCTGCTTCCATGTACGAATGCATGCCAGAAGAGGGCACCAGATCTCATTACAGATAGTTGTGAGCCACCATGTGGTTGCTGGGAATTGAACTCAAAACCTCTGGAAGAGCAGCCAGTCAGTGCTCATAACCACTGAGCCATCTCTCCAGCCCCCTAATAGGCATATTTTTTATCAGAATAAACAATTCGTTTTTTATGAGAAGAAGCAGTACTCTTCTCATTAAAAGGACATGACCATAGATAAATGATCATTGACTAATAACCACTGCAGTACAGATGAACGATAATTCATTGCACAGATGAGATAGGCCTAAGGGAAGGGTGAGTACAGAAACCCTGTGTCACACTGATGAATGAAAAGGAACCCTATCTAGCCAAGCCATGCTTGAGCAAAGCAAGCAGAAAAGATGAAACTATCAAAGCTGCCAAAAGGTTCTTGCACTTATCTGTGATTTTTACCTAGACATTGGGGCCTTTGGTTCAGCTTGTAAGAAACAAAGAAATCAGTGACAGACTGAACACGCAGTTTGATGTCCCAGCTACACGCTTTTAAAATTAAATACAAACCAAATGCAAAGTCACGATATCAGAGAGATTCGAAAATACTGAAGCTATATGATTAAATAGACTCCCAGGTATGTACCTCAGAGAAACTTAGTCAAATCTATCAGGAAATATGGGTTAGAAGCCTCCCTTACAATGATACTTGAAATGGGAAAATATCAAGACCAAGTCGAAATGTCCTTTGGCAAGAGAATGGTTCAATGGTGCAATGGTTTTTTTTTTTCTGATGATACCAATACAATATGTGATATCATATTCATATGATACTGTGCAGTGGTAAAACTAATTAAACATTAATACAGACAGATCTTCAAGAACAATGTTAAATAAGATAAATTATAATTCATACACGTTGAAAAATTGATTTTGAAAACACCAATAAGCATATCTCTATAGAAATGCGAGGGATAACAACAATCGCAGGGTAATTACCCCTGAGCAGCCAGAGAGGAGAATATTAAAAGCAGGTCAATAGCTGAGGTTAGAAAATATTGAAAGCCTTTTGCTTCTTAATCTGGTTGCAAAACGTGGAAGTACGCAATTCATTTTACATCTAAACTGGACACAAATGTTCTAGGACACAGTTGACAGGAAAACATGTGTTTAGGAAGATAAACAAAGAGAAATGCTTTCCATATGCCCTATGGTATTGATGCCAGATTTCTATGTAAATTATTACATAAAAGATCTGGACACAGCTGCGTAGTGCTGTGCTGAAGTCGGCCACCAAGATTGAAATGTGCAGAGCACGAGACTAAATTTCATTTTGTCTCCATCGCTTGAACGCGCTTCTTTTTTATTGTTATTATCTCCTGACACTTGGAAAGCAGAAGAGAGCGTAATGGAAAGATGAACCGAGAATGCAGCTGACATTTGGACGCTCTGCTCAACAGGCAGGGAGCGGGAGGCGTTTGTGGCTTGTGATTAAGTTTTACATAGCAGCTAGCAGGGAAAAGGTGAATCTGGAGCCCCGACTGCGTGTGTTCTCGTCGCAATGCTCCGTTGCTTACAATGGGTGGTTCAAAATCACAGCTCCCAGCGCGTTATGTAAAGCCTTACCCCATGAGTGAAAATATTTCTGATTAGTACACTCCCCAGGTAACCCACTGTGCTCTGTTTACTCAGCTTCTTTCAAACATTGGCAGGGGAGGGGGCCCAAATTGTACACAGAGAGAAACGGGTGGAAGCTGCCATGTGGCTTTCTGCTTTGGCTTGGCAAAGTGCAGTGTATGCTTGAAATGCTACACAGATACTGAGGTTCGCGGGTACTGAAATCACTCTGTCTTTCTATCGGAGAGCGTTCTGAGTCTCTGCTGTAATCTCAACATACGGTCCTGGGCTACATGACTTCTGCTGGGACTTAATGTATGTTTGAAAGACGCCCACATTCCAGGGATTTAAAAGTGAGTCATAGCACTGACATGTGTGTCTAGAACGATGTCTATCAATGGAAAATGTCTCTTAACTCGTCCAACCAGCTGAAGCAGTCCCTAGTCATTTTGTTCTAAAAGGAGAATTCTCCCATGATAGAAGTGGAATAGATTTAACAAACAGTTTCTAAAAACTTAGAAAAGTCCTGCATTCGGAATTTTATCCTTTTTCCCCCTTTCCAAAGTAAGAGGGGGCATTCAGAGAACAGATTTCCTAATGACTGTTTCACCAGTATCTTTCTGAGGCCTCAGAACATTGTCCAAAGAATATTAGATTCTGAAAGGAAGCAGAATCAGTGACCTCACAACAACCAAGATTGTGAACAGAACACATGTGAGGGAGGGAGGATGCATAGGGAAAATGAAATTACAGCCTAAATTCTTTGCGGCAGAGCTACACACATGGACAGTCGCTCAGGAAGGGTTACTCGGAATGGCACACGTGAAATAAATGCTCAGAGCTGGAGAAATCTTCCAATAGTTACAAAACAGAAGAGGTAAGCCAAAATTGAAGCAAAGTCTCCACTCATAAAAACCAGTCCAAAGAGACAGAGCCAGTTGTAAATATTGCAGGGCTGGATTCCAGGGCCTTCTTATTGCCAGTGTTCTCAAGATTTATTTGACATTTAGTAACACATATTAATTTCTCTAAATACACCCTCCAAAATTAAGTTTCTGAACCATCTAAAAATATATCAGTATGCCAATGACAGGTACCTTGCTTAAACTAAAGAAGAACCATGTGGATAAATGTGTGTCACTTCTTACCTAAGGAAAGAAACTGAAAACAAATTCGACTTCACAGAGCCTGAAACGAGGCATGGTAGCACAGGCCTGCAATCCTGCCACCTAGGGAAGGAGAAGCAGAAGGATCAGGAGTTCAAGGCCAATCTCAGCTACATAATTTGAGTCCACCTGAGATACATGAGACCTCAGCTAAGAAACTAAACAAAGAACAAAACCTTGCTTTGGGAACTTTGAATTCACTCAGTAGGAAACTTGCCAAGAGCACAGACAGCTGGGGCTAAGTTCAATGGGAGAGCCCTTGTCTAGAACGTGCAGGGCCCTGGGTTCCACCCCTAGTTACACCAAAAAGCGGGGGGAAGGACTAAATAAAGGAAATTATATCCTTCAAGATATCCTAGGAATGATTACAAAGACTGGTACTCAAAGAAACTCAGAAAAAAAATGACATTTTTCCTTCCAATCCCCCAAGTCACTTCAAAAGTCATGATCCTTACAGTGTTCTAATGTGCCTTGCTTCATGCCCGCAGTCTACACAGAAGAGAAGTCCTCCACAGGCTAATTGTGTGGTGGGGGGATAGAGGCAGTGAGTCCTTTGTGTCACTGTCAGCCCCTCCTTCCTATTGGAATCAGCAGAGGGAGAGATGAGGTAGAGAGTGCTGATCACCTTTATTGGCTGCTCAGTATGTGCTCTGAGAGCAAGCTGACGTCATCCCAAGTACCAACCAGACTGGTTAGAAATGCCTCTAGGCCTCTACTGGCCCAGTCTCTCAGGCCCTATGTAGTATTAAAATTTAGTGGCAGAGGGAGCCATGGGTGATTTGCATTGTCTACCCATCACAGGCATGGAAAACAAGTAGCATCCCTAACTTCTGACTGTCATCCTTACATATTACTCCTCCCAGCCCTGACTGCTATGTAGACTTTTTTTTAGCATAGATTCTTTCAGAACAGTTTTTTTATCCAAAAGCTCAATCCTTGAGAGTAGCACATTCAACCTTGTAGCCACTTGATGGAGGGGAACACATGGAGAGAAATTGGCTTTCCTGAGTTTGTCAGTTTCTCTCCGTGAGGAGGCAATTTCAGTGAGTTAATAGACCTGAGTACGGTAAACATGCTTCTCACAGGTATATTCACAAGGTAGTATAAATATCTCTCGTCCACTAAAGGTGTCCGCAGAGAGGACCAGCAGAGGCCCAGGCAGCAACACTGGAATGTGCCAGAGGAGACCCTGTGGAGCTCCCATGTGAATGGGGTTGCTGAGGACAGCAGGGTAGAATAAGGGCCAACCCATAAAGCACAATGCACGAAACTCTACCTCTCTTTAACAAAAAGGTATCCATAAATATTAGATCACTCTGTTTACTGCAAGGAGCCTCTTCAGTAAAGCAAAGATAAAGTCAAAGTCAGTTATTGCCATGAGTTTAGATACAAATGGGATCAGAATAGAAAAGGAGCCAGATTGCTACACCAGGCACTTTCAGAATGAAAGGTGCCAGCTATTCCCTCCAACGAACCCCAGGTACTTCTTTCAACACATAGAAGTTAAGAGGCAAAGGGAAAATGTATATTTACCTGTGCTGTAAATTTTAAATATTTGACCTTTGGTTTACTTATAGTACACTCTTAATATGTGCTAGTGCTTCCAGCCTGCAATGTTTAACGTTATCAACTTGCCAAAGCGTGGAAAGTCTCAGTGAGGGAGTATCTATATTGAACCTATGTGTAATGGATCATCTTATTTAAGTAGTTGATGTGAGACGTCCCAGACCACTGAAGGCAGCCTTATTCCCTAGGCACCGCATCCTGAACTGTAGAGGGGCAGAGAAATCAAGTTAAGCCCAAGTAAGGAAGTGAGCACATATACATTTGTTTCTCTCAAGTCTTTCCTGTGGATGGGATGTGACCATCTGCTTCAAGTTCCTGCTGCCGTGACTCCCTTGCTATAAGGAATGGCAACCTGGAATTGAGCTGAAATAATCCTTTCTCCCTTAAGTTCTATCTTGCCAGAGTATTTTATCACAGCAATATAATTAGAACTAGGAGGTAGTCCAGCCCTCTCAAGTAGCACGGAGATTTCCTCCTCTCCGAGGACACTTTCAACTCTGAATATCTGCACAATTCTGATGTCCCAAGGGGACACTTTTTTCTCCCAGCTGCCCCATAGCTACAACTCCTTTCCTTCTAAATTATGCTTTTGCTAGCGAAATTTGGGAATCGAGCTATAATCACCCTGCCCATCATATTCCTTACAAGCTAGAGGCCTCGCACTAGAGGTAGCGAGAAGAAAGGCCAGCAAGCATGAGAAATACTCTATGCTCTTTCCTGGTCTCTTTCTTTAAAACTTTATCAAAACGTGCTTGGAACCTCTAGGTAAAGACCTTCTAGCCTGTCCTCAAGCTGGGTTTTTGCCTCAGAAGTGTTGAGAGTGGTATGTATTGCTTTTTTAAATTCATACCCATCCTCATCTAAAAGATTCTCAAGAATCATGGTTTCATGCCGAAGGGTCCCCAGTGGATTCTGGCTATTGTGCTCTCTTCAAAATTTGATAACCCTAAGAGGTAGGTGTCTATTCCGTCAGCCCTAAGGTCAGCCCCTGCTCCATCTCTCAGGATTTAGCCCTCATTCACACTGAGGATTGGATGGAAAATCTATAGACACAGAGAAGAAAGAACATTCAGGAAAAACTAATTCAGGGGGAGAATTTCCTAAAAGTCACTCAAGAGGATATGTATGTCTCAGGATGTGACTCATTGTCCATGCGCGTTTGTGGGATTTGACTGGGGAGATGTTTTGCTTTGTCTTGAAACAGGATCTTACAGTGTATAACATGCTAATCTTAGGTTCTTCACCTTCCTGCCTCAGCCTCCCAGGTGCTAGGCTTACAAGCCTATTCCTCACAGTTGGTGCCAGGACATGAGTTTAAGGACAGCCAAGCAGAGCTGAAATTCCAGTGTTCTGGTGACTTCAACCCTATACACTGTCAAACAGAAGGGAAGCCAGAGAGAAATCAACACAGCTTACCAAAGTCCCTGAGTGGAAGAAACCGAAACAGTTGAAACTGAAAGTTGCCTGCTAATGGAAGGAAAGGCAGCAAAGACTCAACTAGTTTTAGGGCAAAGATCAGACCCCTTTATATATGGAGATCCCATGCCATTTTGCTTGGCTCTATCCATTTTTTCATTTTCTAATCAGTCATGCATATATATCACAAATGCTGCACCCAATTACCCTGGTTCCAATCTATTGGCGCTCTGATCCTCTGTGGTTTCTACTCCCCTCACCTGAACAGCTCCCATTTCTCTTGACAACTAAGCTCTATTCATTCAAACATCCATGAGAGTCCTCTCACGGAAACCTTCCTGGCCCTCGTTCCCTTTCAGGTCTGCCCTTGGCACTCTTGCCTGCTGATAATTTGGAGACTGACAGTTCCCCCTCCCCATTCAAACTCATAAATCACACCCTAAGACCCAGCTTATATAAAGAAAAAACTAATTTTATTTAATGAAGGGAAAAAAATATGAGTGGATAAATAAGCAGTTGACTCCAAAGAAGAAGACAGCAGGAGATACTCTGCAGCATGGTAGGGGGCTCTGCAGGGTACAAGCATGAGAGCACAGTACTGGGAGCCATTCTGCAGCATAGGGGCTTGCAGAAGGCAACCCTGTTTTGGCAGAGCTCAGACAGGAAACAGGAATGCTGTCTCACTCTGCTGTGGTGGCCTGCAGTGATTGTAGCAGAGAGGAGTAAGTGGCCATGTGTCACAAGTAGTCAGTCCACTTGGCTCCACACTGGAGAAGAGGGCAAGGTGTCTTCCTATGTGAGCCTAACAAGCAGTGGTCATGGCAAGAACCTAGCAAGTAGAAAAGCAGATTGCAGGTTGGAGGTTGCAGTCTGGGGATGACTGATGATGCTGAGCTGGTAAAATGCATGACCCTCACTTTTCTGAGACTCACTTTTCCACTCTGCCAAACCAGAAGTGGGACATTGCTTAGCAATGCCACCAAGGGTACCCTATCTCCTTGGGATCATGGACGTAAGGACATTAAAGTTTCACGTGGTTTATTTTAACAGAATTCTCCATCCCCTGGGTCTTAGCCCTGAATAAGATGAATGCTTTCACTTCAGTTCTTATAAGCATTCACCATCTTTTGTGCATTTTTGCAAGTGATTCTTCCTCTATGTCAGAGTCTGTGTGCTTAGAGGATAACAAGCATTTGAACCCAAACAGGCCAGAGAGAGCATCTTATTCCTAGCTCTATACAAACCAGGAGATCATAAATGGGAATGAATCCCTACTAAGGCTCAGTAGAGTTGCTCTCTGGCTAAAATTTCTATGAATATTTTACCAGACTAGCTGAGAAAGGCCAGGCTTCACTGGTACCAGCTGCATCCCTGAGTCTACAGGGCCTCTACCTTGGAATTTTTATGTGCATATTCATTTTTGCTTAAGTTAATGCATTTGGGTCTTATTATTCACTTCTAAAAATAAATTCTATTGACTAGTACGTACCCAAAAAATCATTAAAAATGTCAAATATTTAACATGCTTTCTAACTCTGCGTCAGTTTCTTCCAGCAGCCACACATTTTTGAAGACTACTAGTCTTCTCAACATAAGTGTGTCCTTTCTTTAACATTTCTTTCTATACCTGTGTTTAGAAGTCTCACGTACATAATGGGGGAAATATTAGAGGGGAGTCTGAGCTCTTTCTAATATTTTGTATTTTCTAAAATCCTAAAGATGACTATGGTCTTACTTATTCCAGGTACAAGGACTTTATTGGGATGACATGGGCTGATCATTCCTAAAGTCATCATTCCATCCCTCAAGAAAATGATACTTCCTAATTATGTCTAATGGCACACACCTTCCAAGGCTAAGGTAGGAAGATTAGAGAACCAAGGCCAGATGCATTTGCTCATAGTATACATAAAGAACTAAATTCTTCCAGTAATTATACGACTGAGGTAATATCAATAATCCTATTTTGTAGATAAAGAAACTAAAGTTTAGAGAAATTAGTAATATTCCCATGTTTACACAGCTTCAAATCAGAGAAGAAATCTCCATTGATTGGAGTGGTTTGGGGAGACACCACAGTTAGCAGGGTATGAGGCAATTCTCATGAAGTGAAGAATATAAAAAGAAGTCACTAAAAATATCACAGGGTGGAGGAGAGTAATGGGGTTTTTTCTAAGGGCCTGGATCAGAAAATCTCAGTGGCCTGGTAGGTACCTACAATCACTTACAAATCAATGTATCCAGGAATGCAGTATATGCTTTCTGAAGAGCTTAGAATTAATGATGCTCACACCTGTGAACAGGAATTGGCATTAAGGCCAAAAGGTAAATTGGAGTTACATTTTAGAATCTCTTTGTAGGAAACCTAGCCTAGAATTTCAACTAGAAGACTTTAACAGGCAGATCAGTTCCAAGCATTCATTCTAGCAGTAATGATCTGTGTTATTGTAAGTTATTACTCAAACTCCCTGAGATCCTCTTTCCTTATCTATAAAAGGGGGACAAGGATATATTTTTACCATAGGTTTAAGTATTACACTGGGTAATGTACTTATATCTCCCATATGTACAGAATAACTAGCTTTGATTGGCAAGCTAAGGAATTCATAAAACATTCACTGTGGAATGATCCATGACTCCATTGAGGAGAAGGTTAGGAAGGCATTCGCAGAAAGCTAATGCATGCAGGTGGAATGAAATGAAAGAGACACATGCAGACAGTTCAATGTACCACACTAATTATTTGATTATGAGATAAGTGTGTGAATCTAGCTAGTGACTCCAGAAACAAAATGGAAAGCCAGAGGAAGACTCAGAGATGAAGCAATCATCTACAATTTCCCTCTACACAGTACTCTGAACTAGGACTCCAATATACTAGAGACTTCTATAAGGAATGATGAAACCTCATCTTTACCATTAATACTAATTGACAAATTGCTCTCAAACAAAAGCAGATAAAAATTCACAAATAAGGAAGACAACATCCTGCCGAAATGTTAGCATGCAGTACACTGGGTCAGTGTTCCTGCCTGCAGGTATTCTACTTCAATAGAATCAGCATTTATACTAGTCACACCTTGACTGAAAACACAAGTGTGGTCATTTGTATCTTGTCAAATGAATTTGTGGTGCCTATTTCTGTCTAGTGAAATATTACACTAGAAGTTTAGAATTACCAGTTTGAATGCAAAAGACAGAAAATTCTTGCAGCCTGAAACAGTAGGTTACATCCATGTCTACAAAGTTAATAGACTGAAGTTTGGGACCACCTGCTGTTGGAGAAGGGAGCCACTTGGTTGACCCGGTTGCCCAGAACTAAAATAATTACACAGAAACCATATTATTTCAATCGCTGCCTGGTCCATTAGTTTTAGCTTCTTACTGGCTAAGTCTTACATATAAATTTAATCCATTTCTATTAATCTGTGTATTATCACGTGGCTGTGGCTTACTGGCTAAAGTTTAGGCATCTGTCTCTGGCAGGGCTACATGGCTTCTCTCTTGACTCCACCCTTATTTCTCCCAGCATTCAGTTTAGTTTTCCCCACATAGCTCTGTTTCCCTATAGCTCTGCTATAGGCCCAAAGCAGTTCCTTTATTTATCAGTGGTAATCATAACATACAGAGGAAAATCCCACATCACCTCCCCTTTTCTTTTTAAATAAAAAGGAAAGTTTTAACTTTAACATAATAAAATTACATAAAACAGTTATCAAAAAAGAATTACAGTTATATCTATTTTATCTTTTATCATAACTAAGGAAATAAATATTATTAGTATCTATTCTTCAACTCCATCAAAGACTCCAGAAGGATATAATATTACCTATTTAAACAGGAAGTGCATTGTAAGCAACTTCCAAAACTCTAGAATTTACAGAGATATCTCGCTGCCTGGACAGTCATCCAGAGTTCTTCTGTACCATTGGGGAATTCATCTTTAGCCTACAGGCCCATAGTATCCAGCAGGCTTTTCCATGAAACAGGAAATTTTAAAGACAGGTCAGCCTATACTGTCAGTTTATCAGTCACTTTCATCTATATCCTGCAGAATGTCTAGCAGACTCTTTCATGAAGCAAGAACCCTGAAGGATTGTATCAACTTTAGGCAAGTTCAGCAGTCATATATCTGTTTGTCCTGCATGTCCAGTTAAGCAGTCCAGGCAAGAGCAGTTTCTTGCCCAAATGGCTAGCAAACGCCATAAGATGCCTCTTCAATGACCATCTTCCTCTTGAAGTAACTGGTGCTGCCAGGAGGAGAAGTGTCTCTGTCATGAAAAGTCCTAAATTCTTAAACATTTTAAATGCCATATTTTGTAGTCTTTGAAAGGTTTGAGCAGAAATATACATATAACAAGATTGACCTTAAATTTATATCAACAAACCAAGATCCATACCAATGCAAATCTCTATAGCATATCCCCCTTTAAATGCAAAAGAGCATTTATAAATAATACTTGGGAATATGGGCATAGTTACTCTCTAAACTGCTTCCTGTTGTTTATTGGGTGAAGTAATTTTTTGAGGGGTGTTCAAGGCAACTTTTCAGGGGGTCTTGGTCCATTAAACAATATTAGTCTGGAAGTAACCCACAGGTTCTCATCCTCTGTATAAACAAAAGAACAACTTTTCCAAAATAATATATCCTTAGATTCAAAATTTGAATTTAAGATACCTTTGAAATATATTTGTTGGCTTATCTTAGCAGTCCCCAGAATCAAATGTCTCTCTGCAGTCAAAAAATTCAAAGATAACATAAGAACATACATAATCCAGACTCTCTGTGAAATTTCCACCTTTATGTGGCTTGTTTTTACTCTATTACTTTTTCTACAAGTTTAATGTTTATTTTATTATCTTTACTCCTTTAACATATGACTGTCTATACTTTGTCTCTTTAAAAACATTGTTTCATTTTTTAAAAAAACATTTAGTTCTTTTTATAACTCTATGTACTCTTTTTCTTCTCTCTCCCAAGCCTATGTACATTAATCCAACATTGTGATCCATTTAGAGGTCTTTTATGTCTGAATCTGTCCTATTGTGTATCTGTAATTCGTTACTATCCAGGAGCACTTCTTAAACTGCTAAGCTCTTCTTATGAACTTAAGTGGCTGCATTACTAGGGGAAATATGGCACTCCCTGCTCGCTCTGCCCAGTCCAGCATGGTAGAGCTGTTTGCTGTCTCTGAGAGCCATGTTCATAGTCCCATTTTTAGGCACACAGTCAGTCTATATCGCCATTAAGCAAGTTGTAGCAGTCTGCTCAGAGACCCCAATCAAATGCTCTATAGCTGGACCTCCAGAAAGAGTCAGAGTTCATGCTGGCATCATAGCCCAGAAAGCCAACATTTCAAAACCGCCTCCTTTTTTCTGCTTCTACTGAATCAGGAAACCCTCTCGTAAAGGAGCTGCAGCCTGCTACCAACAAAATGTTGGCTACCAAGAAGCCGCGTTTAACTCTGTTCTTTTGTGTCTACGATTCCTTTGAAAGCTTTTTCAGGTTTTACATGGATTTAGTCCACCACATTGGTACATCGGTTTGTTGGGAAAAGGTCATTTATTTACTTCCTGGCTTCCCAGAAACCAAAATAATCACACAGAAGCTGTATTAATTTAATAATGGATACAAGCTCTAGCTTCTTATTGGCTAACTCTTACATATTAATTTAACCCATTTCTATTAATTTATGTATCGCACATGGCTGTGGCTTACCAGCTAAAGTTCTGTCTGGCTCTGGCGGGCTATATGGCTTCCTTCTGACTCCACCCTTCTTTCTCCCAGCATTCAGTTTAGTTTTCCCTGCCTATCTCTATTCTTTTGCCCTATCTGGCCAAGCCAGTTTTCTTTATTAATTAATCAATCATATTCACAGCATACAAAGGGGAATCCCACATCAGCCTGCTGTATCAGTGTCACCATAATTACACCTGGAAAATGCTAACAATAATTTTTATAAGTGGTTCACTTGTCTTCCTCTTTGAGGTTCTTTAATCTCAGGCATGAGTTAATCATTGAATAGGCTAATTTGCTGACATGTGTAGTTACTACAAACAACACGGTGAAACCCTGATAGGAATCATCCATAGATTCTGAAGTCTTCCAAGAGTGCTCCAAGTGCATCCCTTTCAGCATGAACATCAGCTCCAAGCAAGAAGCTACAGATGTAGTGAACAATCTAGGCTGCCCTGTTCAGCCAAAACTCTAAACAAAAGTCATTTGCTGTGGGTCTTCCCTATAAAATACTGCTGAGCTGCTGTTCAGAGAGAACTGATCTTTCTCAGAACTGTCCATAGATGTAGACCAAGAATTATGCTAAGGGTAAGAAATCTTATCTTCCCATAGGGAAGTCTTCCTCAATATTTGTAAAAGTCATTGTCGTCAATTAGAGTCCTTGACAAAGGCAGGCAAATTCCCACAGAAAGTATCATCTCCATGCATTTGAATTAGAGAAACTCAACAGTGTCACTTCAGCCAACTTGAACTAAACCCCACAAACAGAGGTGAAGGGACTGCTCCTCTTCCCACTTTCTTTCCTATGGAAATATGAATATGATAAGTAAAATGACACCCAATATCTATAGGAACTTTTAAATTTACCTGTTAAAATATTCATCTTTAGCATTGCATTAAAATTTATTGGAGAACAAAATAAGGCAGAAGGGTGGTCGGCTAGGGAAAGGGGGTAAAGTGTCAGTCTAATAAAGGTTGACTTAGGCTGAAAACCATAACCAAGGCTGATGATCACAGTCTGTAAAAAGAAACTTACTTCATGTCATCCAACATTGCTCCTCCAAAAGTATGTACTGGTATGGAAAGTCCTTCTATATATGTGTTGATTTTATTGATTAATGAA